ACAAAAACAGAGGAAATAGAAGCAAATACTGTTGAATGATGATGTACAGAGGAGATGGTAATCATTGCAATGAAACATTGAATATAAAACTGATGTTCTCCCATGTAAAGTATCACTCAATTCACACAAAAAACTTAAAAAAAAAAAAAGTTAATGCCATCCAACACGTGTGTTTGTGACCATGCCCACTGATGAGCTCATGTACAATAGTGATACAGCACTTGCTTGCCAGTCCCTGTCCTGACACCGCTCTGTCTGTCTTATCCTGCAGATGACAGAAGGCAGGTACTGCCAGGTTCTTCTCCTGGATGACAGACGGCTGGAGCTGCTCGTGCAGGTAGGCGTGGTCCTCTCAGGGGAGGAGCCTCAGGGCCCTTTCCCAGACTGCTTGCTGATCTGTGCCTTTTATCTGATGGTCTGGATGGACTTAGGTGGGGGAAGAGGCTTCAAAGACTTTTTACATAGATAAAAGAAAATTTTATCTATGTAAGGGTGGTACGGCCAGTGGTATGGACTCAGGAACACTTGGGTTCTCCCAGCATCTTTCCCAGGCTTTACTTCTCTGAATCTCTCCTTGGAATGTGATGTTGGTACGGTGTGGAGTCTGTTCCAACTCATAGTGACCCTGCATAGGCTTCCCAAGGTTGTAAATCTTTACAGGAGCAGAAAGCCTCATCTTTCTCTCGTGGAATGCCTGGTAGTTTCAAACTGCCGACCTTGAGGTTAGCAGTCTGACTCATAGCCACTGCGCTACCAGAGTTCTTGGTAAATTGGAAGCTAGATACTCTGCCGAAAGGTTTATAGTGAAGTGAGAACCTGCTTTCTGCTCCTTTCCAGCCATGTGGCATTGCCTGGGTTAATTACCCAGTTTCTTCAGCTCTCTACCCTTCCTCACAAAAGAAGACATGGCAGCTCTGTTGGCTAATCGCTAGAATGCTAACCATAAGGTTTAAACCCACCAGCTGCTCCATGGGATAAGGATGAGGCTGTCTGTCCCTAAAAAAGACTTATAGTTTTAGAAACCGTATGCATGAGTCAGAACCGACTCAGTGGCAATGTTTTTGGGTTTGTTTTGTTTTTTTCAACCCTTCCTCACAAGGAGTCATGGTGATAAGGTGATTAAGTGTTTGACTGCTACTTCAAAAGTTCAGCAGTTCGAACCCACCAGCCACTCCATGCAAGAACGATATAGCAATCTGCGTCCAATAAAGAGTATAGCCCTGAATATCTGTGGGCAGCTTCTACACTGTCCTAAAGGGTCACTATAGAATTGCCTTAATTGACAGTGTGTTTGAGTTTACCCTTCCTCACAAATGACTCCCTGGGTGGTGGTGGTTGTCAGGTTCCATCGAGTCGGTACCAACTCATAGGGACCTTATACACAGCAGAACGAAACACTGCCCAATCCTGGGCCAACGTCACCACTGTTGCCACACTTGAGTACCACCCTGGGTGGTTTGTTGTTGTTGTTGTTATGTGCCGTGGAATCAGTTCCAACTCATAGCTACCCTGTACAGGGTTTCCAAGGCTATAAATCTTTACGGGAGCAGAATGCCTCATCTTTCTCCCATGGAACAGCTGGTAGTTCTGAACTGCTGACCTTGCGGTTTGCAGCCCGATTCATAACCACTATACTACCAGAGCTCCTTATAGTTAAACACTCCTAGCTGATAAGTCAACAGTTCGAACCTACCCAGAGACACCATGGTAGACAAGGCCTGGTAATTTGCTTCTGAAAAGTCTCAGCCTTGGAAACCCTATGAGCCATTGTCGTCTGCACACATGGTGGTTCCATGAGTCAGAATTGGCTTGACGCCAACTAACCACAACAGCCTTCCTCATGAAATTGTGGTTAATATCAACCTAGATCATATATGTGCATGGAATGTCTTTGTGAATTAATTTTTTAATTTATTAATTTAAAATAATTAAAAAGCTTCTTATGCTGGGGGAGGAGTTCTGGTGTGATGCTTCAGGATAAGGTGGTTTGAACTCACCAGCCTCTCTTCGGAAACTCTATAAAGGGTTCCTATGGGTTGGAACTGATTTGGCAGCACCTCACAACAACAACAATCATGGGGGAAGATATGAGTGATGATATTTTAACAAGTGATAACTCTGTATTTTAAGCCCAACTGTTAGGACCCAAGTTGTAGTAATTCCTGCTGACAGACTGCACCGACTGCTAGGCTAGAATTCTATGCTGGGACCAGATCTCAATTTGTTTGCCTTCTGAGGTTTGTCCCAGCCCACTATGCTAAGGCTTCAATTCAGGATGAAAATAGAACCGACAACAGTAGTTTTCACCAGAGTAGACTTTTGGAGTCTGCCACTATCTTTTCTTTCTTTATTTTAGGATCTTGTCTAGTCTTTCTTGCTACCTCCTCCACACCCAACATGCAGCGCTCAAACCGTCATGATATTGGTGGTGTTATTGTTAGCTGCCACTGAGCCAGCTGACTCCTGAGGACTTTATGCGCTGCCGACCAAACATTGCTCCTTCCTGTGTCATCCTCACAGTCCCCAGCATGTTCAAGCCCCTCTCCCTGAGGGTCTCCCATGCCCTCCTTGACCCTCTACATTACATTTCACCAAACATGACGCTTTTCTCTAGTGACTGATCCCCTCCTGATGACGTCTCAAAGCAAATAGGCCGTGTTCTGCTGTGAACTGAAGGCCTTTCAGCAACACCCGTGTGTCCGTTTGTTGTCCTGTGGTGTTGCAATGATGGTGGAAGTATTTGACCAGTATCTCAAATACAGAGTGACCCACGGTGGACAGGTTTTAGAGGAGCTTCTAGACAGATTAGGAAGAAGGGTCTTGTGATCTCATTCCAAAAATTACCCAAAGAATCATAAAGAACTATTTGGCTCAAAGGTGAAAAATAGTCCATCTTAGAAGACCTCCCACACTCCCAATTTTCCTCTACAATCCATGTAGGGCCAGCACTAGAACTCAGATCTAGCTGACTTCAAACCCAAGCTTCTCACAAGGTTCAGTCCTTCTAATAAGGTACTCAATACATTCTGTTAATAAGGATCTCAGGCAGAATGGGTGCAATTATGCATCTCAAGAGAGAAATAAAACTTAGCCTTTTACCATGTTGTTGTTGTTAAGTGCCATCGAGTCGGTTCTGACCCATAGCGACCCTGTACAGGGTTTCCGAGGGTGTAAATCTTTACGGGAGTAGAAAGCCTCATCTTTCTCCCGCGGAGCGGCTGGTAGTTTCGAACCGCTGACCTTGAGGTTCGCAGCCCAATTCGTAACCACTACGCTACCAGAGCTCCTTAGCCTTTTACCATAGAGGAAAAAAAAAAAAATGAGATAATCAGTTGAATTGCATCTACATGAAAATGAAGATGTCTTTAATGTCCCTATTCCCATTTCCTTTCCTTTCTCACTTCTCTTAGAGACAGACCACAGGAAGTTAACCGAAGCAGGAAGAAGGGGTGGATGTTTAAAACAAACAAACAAAGACTGCTGGAAACTGCTTGGGGCAGAGCCAGGCGATAGCAATGAGAGAAGACCCACCAAATTGTTTCTAATAAGATTTTTGTTTTTTCTCGACAGCCCAAACTTTTGTCAAGAGAATTATTGGATCTAGTAGCTTCGCATTTTAACCTGAAAGAAAAGGAGTACTTTGGGATAACATTTATAGATGACACGTAAGTGTTTTAATTGTTTTTATTTTTACCAGACTCCTGGATCACCTATATGATTAGCAAAAAAGAGAGGTTCCAATGGGCCTGCTTAGCTAAGGATTGTTTTAATGGAGTACTTCTCTCCTAGGACTATTGCACAGGAAGAGGGAAGGGATTATTGACTATTGTAAGAACTCAGAATATCGTCCTAAATGTTTTACAACTGTTTTTGTATAATGCGTCTGCTGTTCTCACTGTAAATCTATCTTCACTTTTCCTTGAATGCAGTGAGTGGTGGGTTTTGTGTATTTTGCTCCGGTATCAGCAACAGAAGCACTAAGTTGTCATTAGCTCATATCTCAAAACGGAATGGGAATTGTGGCTTTGGGTACAAGAAAGTTAAAAGACAAAGCTGAGGGCTGTCTAAGAAATCTGTATCTCTTACATTATGGAAGGAAAATGTTTAACATCCAGCTTGATTAACTTTATGTTACTTCCTTACTAGCTTTCTCTTTCTACACTCTTCTATTTTTCACACATTGGATAATGTATGTATTTGTCAGTCATTTCAGTCCTGTCTGAATGAAGCAGGACATGTAACAATGAATTTATGAGAGTCTAAAACTCTCAAAAAGTAACAAATGTGTTTGGACTTAATTTCACTATCGTCTGTGTGATATGTGTGTTTTGTAGCAATCCCATTTGCCTGGTTTGTATATAGCTATTTTCCAAAGAGCTCTTTAAATATTAAAATTCCAGGAACTGTATTCCAGACACAAAATACGTTGGCCAGCCACCCAACATTCTTTCCATAAGTCCCCCAATTTAATTTTTCTTTTCACTCCTTTAGTTTAAGCAAGTTGAAAATAATCTCACCAAGGGGTTAATGGGCCTTTAGTACCTTGCGACCTCTGATTGTTTCCGGTCTGGCCTACAAGCCAAGAACCTGCTGGAAACACCACCAGGCACAGGACTGGGGTTGAGCAGAAGCCAGGGAGCAAGAGGAAACAAAAAAGATAATAAGTTGTCAGGATACATAGAAAAACTTGAAAGCTTTGATTCTGGAATCACAGTGTCTAATGAATAGGGTTCAACGAGGCAGAAAATGTGCAGTCACCTCTCTTGAGTCTCAAAATTATCTGTTCATTTGAAGACACTGTCTGATGGGTCCTCTGCTGGATCAAGTAGGAAATGCAGAGATCTTTTCACAACAGCAAAAACAAGCCAATGCACCAAATCGACTTCACTCCAACTGCTGGCCGTGCCATGGGTACAGAGCAGAGCTATGCCCCAGAGGGCTTTCTTGACTGGAATCTTTATTGAAGCTAATCACCAGACCTTTCTTGCATGATACCCGGGAATGGGCTTGAACAGCCAACCTTTCAGTTAATAGTTGAGCACCATTTGTACCACCCAGGAACCCTTCTGATGATGAACTCTAACTGAAAGACAAGAGTGCTGTTATTGTAAAGTGGCATCAAGTCATTGGGTGGAGGGGGAGGGAGTTTTAGAGAAATACTAATTTAAATTAAATGTCAGGTAAACTGTAGATATCCAAAATCTTTATGCCTAAAAATTTGCAAATCTGATGAGATAAGGCACAGGCACAGTTTCCCCCCTCCTCCCCAGTCTTTTTTGTGTTGCTCTTAACAAAAACATTAAATATAGAAATAAACATCTGAGTTGTTTTTTTCCACATTATTAGAAAAAATAAAGTGTCAATATTGTTTCTTTACAAAATAGTGCCAGTAAGAGTTTATTGCTGTTCAATGCCATCAAATCAGTTCTGACTCATAGCTATCCTGTATAGGGTTTCCAAGGCAGTAAATCTTTTCAGAAGCAGAAAGCCTCATCCTTTTCACAAAGAGTGACTGATGGGCTTGTACCACCAACTTTGTGGTTCCAAGTCCAGTGCTTATCCTACAGAGCCACCATGCTCCCAAGAAAAGACAAGTTCATGTGAATCAATGGTTAAACACACACACAGGTTGAATCTGAATATTAATGAAATAGCAGCACACAGCTTAAGACATGAATCCTTAAATACCTCATGGCTAAGTTCTATGGGGTAAAGTATGGACACTATAAATATTGTAGCTTAGGGCAGAGTCACACAACACAGTGGTTAAGAGCGAGGATAATGGAGTAATTTATTCATTCAATACGTATTTCCTTTTTTTTTTACTCTTTGTTGTGAATTGAGTGAAGGTTTACAGAGCAGATCATCAGTTTTACATTCAGCAGATCATATACTTTGCTTCAGTAGAATGATTGCAATACCTCCATATACCATCAATTAACAGTTGTTGTTGTTAAGTGCTGTTGAGTCGGTGCTGACCCATAGCAACCCTGTATAGGGTTTCCAAGGAGCTGCTGGGGAGCTTGAACCACCAACCTTGTGGTTCAAACAACTTCACAGTCCAACGCATTAGCCCACAGCACCACACCAGGACTCCTCAATTAACAGTGATGGTGTCTGTGGTTATGTGCCGTGGAGTCAGTTCCGACTCATAGCAACCCTGTACAGGGTTTCCAAGGTCATAAATCTTTATGGGAGCAGAAAGACTCATCTTTTTTCCACGGAACAGCTGGTAGTTTCGAACTGCTAACCTTAAGGTTCGCAGCCTAATATGTAATCACTACGCTACTAGAGCTCCTTTCAGTTAACAGTATTTACCTCTATTTCCTTTAGCTCTTACACCCTTCCCTGTGTCTCCCAGTACCTTCGTCTTTTGTCTACCAACCTCCCTTTTTCAACACACGTTTCTTGAGTGCCCACTAAATGACTCAAGGTGATCAATACAGAGACGCTCACTCTTACCTGCTCACCTTGTGATGGTGTGGACTTGCATAAAACCACTGCTATCTAGTTGATACCGACCCTTTAGTATATTTCAGAGTGTTTCCAAGATTGTAGACTTTGCAGAAGCAGACTGCTATGTCTGTATCCCACGGAGCTGCTGGTGGGGTCAATCTTTGGGGTAGCAGTTGAATGCTTTACCCACTGTGCCACCAGGAAAAAGGAACTGGTCTGAAATTGCAAGTGCGCTGATGAATGTAAAATAAGATGGCACCATCAAAAGAAAAGTCTGAGGAAGACAGTACAGTTATAAACAGGCTAAGTGAGGAAGGCTTCTAAGAGAGGACATTTGAGCGAGGATCTCAATGAAAAGCAAAGAAGTCTGCAAAGTTTTAGGGAGGAATTCTAGGCAAAAACCTTCGTAAAAGTTTTGAGGTAGGATTGAACTTGACTTTTTCTTTTTCTTTTTCTTTTTTTTTTTAAGACAAGTGTGGCTAAAGTATAAATAATTAAATAATCAGGGAGAGTGTCCTACAAGATAAGTTTTGAGAGGGAGGCAGGGGCCAGACAATAGAGGATCTTAGTGAATGTGTGACCTTAATGATTATGTACGTGGGCTGTCCTGGTGTGATGCTGTGGGATAAAACACCAGTCCGCAAGATCAGTTAGAACCATAAGGTCAGTGGTTCAAACTCACCAGTCACTCCTTGGAAACCCTATACAGGGTCATTATGAGTCAGAACCAACTTGATAGCACTTAACAATAACATTGTATTGATACTATTATTATGTCTCCTGTACAGTTGAAAACACTGCACATTAGAGATGTTATATAACTGCCTAAGATCACATGGAGTCCTGGTAGGGACTGTATGATAAGCACTGAACAGCTAACCACAAGGTTAGCAGTTCAAACCCACCAGCCACTCCTCAGAAACCCTGTCAAGGGTCACTATAAGTCAGGACCAACTCGACAGCACTTAACAACAATGACAAGCTAAGGCACATGTTGTTGTTGTTGTTAAGTGCTGTTGCGTCAGGTTCTGACCCACAGCGACCCTGTATAGGGTTTCTGAGGAGCAGCTGGTGAACTTGAACCACAGGCCTCCTGGTTCAAGCAGACTTTGCAGACCAGCGCATTAACCAACTGCATTATACCAAGACTCCTACCTCTCGCTTCTATCTAAAGCCTTATATCTAAGGTACATGTTATAGGATAATAAGAGTCCTAGTGTATCACTGTGAACCAACTCAACAGCACACAACAATAGACAACAACAATACATTATTAAATTAGATAAGATATGCAAAGCTCACAATACAGACACCCAGTAAAAGAAGTGATCGTGATATTTGTAATAGTTTTGAAATTGGGTAAGGGTTTCAGAAGGAAAAAAGGCTAAAGAAGACTTGGGAAAATCAAGGTGGGCTTCACCCAGGTGAGTAACTACAGTTGTACCTGTCAGGGCAGGAAGCGAGAGGTAGGAGCATCATAGGCAAGAACCTCTTGTGGGTAATAAACATGCAACATTTATACAGTGCTAGGGAGACTGGCCTCATTAAGAAAAGGTTTTCTTGATAAAAGAAATTCCTTTATGATCACCAGGGGTGGAAGGGAAGGGGAAATTATTCACGAGCTAGAAAAATTCAACAGGCAGCTCAAGACAAACTCGAATATTATAATGAAACATGCAAAGACCTGGAATTAAAAAACCAAAAGGGAAGAATACGCTTAGCATTTCCCAAGCTGAAAGATGTGAAGAAAAAATTCAAACCTTGACTTGCCATATTGAAGGATTGTATGGGCAAAATACTGAATGATGCAGAAGGCATCTAAACAAAATCGAAGGAATACACAGAGCAGAGCACTGTACCAAAAAGAAAAGGTCAATGTTCAACCAATTAACGCTACTGAAGGAAGAAGTCCAAAGTGCACTGAAGTCATTGGCAAAGAGCCAGGCTCTGGAAATTGAAGGAATACAAATTGAAAGCTTTAAACAAACTGATGAAGTCTGGAAGTACTCATTCATCTCTGCTAAGAAATTTGGAAGACAGCTGCCTGACCAACTAATTGGAAGAGATTCATATTTCTGCCCATTCCAAAGAGAGGTGACCCAACAGAATGCAGAAATCATCAAACAATATCATTAATATCATATACAAGTGAAATTTTGGTGAAAATAATTCAAAAAACAGCTACAGCAGTACATTAACGGGAAATGCC